GATGTTTCTGTTACAGGGTACAGCCTGACCTGTTCTATGCTAATGACTAACTTATCCTAACAATGTTTCAATTTCTACCTATAATGGCTTTGTGGCCAGAGCAGTGTTCCTGCCCTGGCGCCTAAAGGATGTTTATTACTTAGCAATTATTTCAAACACTACTGGCTAAACAGGATCTTAAGAATTATAAGGTGCATAACTTGTCTATTACTAAGAAACTATCACTAAGAAACTAACAGTAAAACAGAATTATCGTAATATGTCCAAAACTCACTTATTTGGTTAAAGTAAATAAAACAATCAATATAAGAAGGGGTGTCAGATCTTTATCCTACAGGGGGCATCCAAAGGGGAATTTAAATCTTCCAAAACATAAAGCAGTATCTGTTTCTCAGTCAGAGCTTCAGCATTTGTCACAATAGCAGTGTGCTTGGCCATGTCAGACACTTGAGGAGCAGCCGGCTCCCAACAGTACCGTTTTATTTGAAGACTTCCTTGAAAGAGTTGGTGACTAAGAGCTGACTTCCAGCTGCCAGAACAAAGTAACAGTCCTCTGTTGCGACAGCACGTTGCTAGGGAACAAAAACCACAGCGTTAGCAGGCAAACTGAGTTGCTGCTAGGGTTATCAATCCTGAGACTTGTGCTTGGGTTGAACACCAGAGGTGCTTTGTCCACAGTAGGAGCAAATGTCTAAGGAGTCTTCAGATATGTTTTATGTTAGCAAAGAGTGACCCCACCCAAACTGAAACTCTCAAATAGTCCTCACAAACTCTCAGTGTTTATAGTCTAAATGTTCCCTTGCCTTAGTTGCTGGCAACCAACCCCCACACTTTAGGGGATTTCCAAAAGTCACGTTATTAACATAAACTCAGTGCTGCAGTCTTGGTTGAAAGAAGCTTGTTACTCATAACAAGACACCCATGTTACCTTTACGGCTCTAAAGCATTTCTTCTTTTAGTTCTACCAGTTTTTCCCTCACATAATTTGTTGTTATGTGATAGGTACNGCGAGTATATAACAAACTCTGTATTTTGAGTGGAAATGTTAGGGGGTCGTCTTATACGCCCAGTCGTCTTATACGCCGGCAAATACGGTAAATGGCTTTCATGCCTTTTATCTTTGCCCCCTCCCTTGCAAGAATATACAATTTTTAGAGTTACCAGTCCATGAGGCATATCACAACAGGTAAGTTATCAAAATATATTTCTTTGGTATTTCTTGTTCCTTGTGAGTTCTTTTTCTTGTAGAACCAGAAAGAAGAGGGTAACGATTTATTTTGAGTTGTGAGGCATATTTTAATGGCTCATTGATGCAAACTAAAATATGGGATTCCCCTCCCCCTTACAGTTGTACACTGATAAAAAGTTATACTCTCAACTATAATCCAATTGATACAACCATATAAATTGTTATTTTCACATATTATGATCCTACTTAGTGTTATTAAAGTTAAAATAGAAAGAAGCAAATCAGATAAAGTTACTGCAATGTCCACAATTGTTTTGCTGTTATTGATTTTATTAACATTTGAGTGTAGGAAAAATGTTAAACCCCTAACTGTAAAATGCTAAAACCCTTTCTTTCCAGAACAATGTATTTGTTAAATTTGCTGTAATATGTAGGGGGCTCCAACCCAACAGCTTTTGTCATCAGCATTAGCATAACCTGCATGTGGCTTACACCTCTGTGGTTTGTGTCCTGTATGGTTTTATTATCTGACTTATTATTTTGTCCCTTTTGAACTTGATTATGCCAACTCAATTTTCAAGTTTCAACCTCATTGCTTTTTTGAAAATTCTGCTTCCATCATGATAAGCTCAGTTAGTGGTTTTCTCTTTCATATCCCCACAGTGTTATATTTTTAGTTACAGCTATAAATGTGTCTGTTCTGCTAGACGTTTAGCTCCTTGAAGGTAGAAAATGTGTCTTACTCATTGTATACCATTTCTGAAACTGAGAACACTTTAAGCTTGGCTGAAGTACAAGGTTTCTTTAATAGCTTGAAAAAAAATGTGGCTTTTTCTATAGGCAAAGGGAGTACTTGGAATGTTAAAGAGGAGGTTTTTAAAATTGTTTTATTGTATTATTTTGATGTTACTTTATTAAGGAGAGGAAATCTTAATCAGAGAAACCAACTGAGAAACAGTTAAGAAAGAAAAATTAAGAGATAAAATTGTCTTATGCTACAACTTAATTAGGTATGAAGTTAAGGGAACAGACTATCATAAGATTTCTGTCT